ACGTGTGCCCCCGCGAAGGGCAACCCGAAGTACCGCCGGGTCTAGGAAGAGCAGTAAGAAAGGATCGACCGTGGAGGTTACAACGTCGCGCACAAGCGCCCGAGGCCAGGGCCGAACACAGGGCAGCGAGCCCTCCTCCACCACTTCGACGGAAGGTGACCAAGTGCCGCCGAGGGGCCCTCTTCGGCCCGGTGACCAAATGCCGCCTCGAAGCAAGACTCCTTCGGTTTCGTTGGAAGAAGTCGAAGATGAAGAAGCCCACCTACGGTCCGACATCCCAGTCGTAATCCCTAGGAGGCCAGCGTCCCCCGCCGTGTCCCTCACCGCGAATGCCAACGACAAAAAGGTATTTGCGGCGATGTACTACGAGCCCCATGGCATTCTGTGGACCCGTCGGGCCTTACGAATTGCTCGAGGAGATGCGGCAGCTCGCGCCGTTCTCAACGGATGGGTACACCCGCGACGACGCGAGGAGGTAACCGATCAATTGTGTCATCAGCTGGAAGAACAGACCGAAACGGCCGCTCAGGCCAGGGAGCGGTGGCAATGGATGGAGGACTTGCGGAAGCCGCCCATGTACATACGAGGGAGAAAAGGGCGCAATGTCTCAATAAAAGTACAAGTTAGAGACTCTGGACACGAGGGAGACCCACGCCGTGAGCGCCCTGGTCGACAGCGGGGCCACCAGGCAGCTCAATTGACCGGGCCTGGGCCCAAACCCATGGCCTTAACTTGAAGAAAGCGGCCCGACCCGTCCCGGTTTACAATGCCGACGGCACTCGCAACAAAGGGGGCGATATCACCGAATACGCCGAGGTACGGTTGAAAATAGGGGACCACGTGGAACGGATCGAACTCGCCGTAGTCGATCTGGGCTCCACGCCCCTGTTTCCTAGGGGCACGATTGGTTGCAGCGTCACAATCCGCTTATTGATTGGGACACCGGAGCAGTTACTTTGGCCCGGTGTACTTGTAGGAAAATTCCCTTTTCCCTACCTGATACCGACCCTTCCGCGCGGTGGGACGAGTACGAAGAAGGGGATACCATCCTCGTAATCGACTTTGAAGAAGCCTTTCATATACGGGCCATGGGAACCCGAGCCAACGAACTGGCCGCCCAAGCTAACGCGAAAAAAGACGCCAAGTCGTTCGAAGAGATAGTACCCGAAGAATATCGGGACTTCAAGGATATCTTCGATAAGGAGAATTTCGATGAACTTCCCCCACGTAAACCCTGGGACCATGCCATCGAGCTAATCCCCAACGCTAACGCCAACCTAGACTGTAAGGTCTACCCACTCAACCCCACGGAACAGGAGGAGCTGGACAAGTTCTTGGATGAGAACTTGGCCACTGGGCGTATTCAGGCCTCGAAATCTCCCATGGCCTCTCCGTTCTTCTTCGTCAAGAAAAAGGATGGAAAACTGCGACCTGTCCAGGACTTACCGAAAGCTCAACGAGATGACCATCAAGAACCGTTATCCATTACCGCTTATCGGAGAACTCATGGACCGACTAAAGAAGGCCAAATACTTCACCAAATTGGACGTCCGGTGGGGCTACAACAACGTACGAATCAAGAAGGGGGACGAGTGGAAGGCCGCTTTTCGAACTAATCGCGGTCTCTACGAGCCCCTCGTCATGTTCTTCGGGCTCACCAACTCTCCTGCCACTTTCCAGTGGATGATGAACGATATCTTTAAAGATCTCATCACCGCTGGGAAGTGTCAGTATATCTGGACGACATCCTCATTGCTTCCAAGTCCAAGGCGGAGCATAAGAGGATTGTACGCAAAGTCCTCCAGATATTACGAGAGAACAACTTGTTCCTAAAGGCAGAGAAGTGTGAATTCGAAGTAGAGGAGACTGAGTACCTTGGGGTCATCATTAGCGAGGGAAAGATCCGTATGGACCCCGTCAAGATTGCGGGCCTACTTGACTGGCCGACTCCCCGTCGTAAACAGGAGTTACAATCCTTTCTCGGATTTTGTAACTTCTATCGACGATTCATTCGAGATTACAGCCGTCACGTTCGACCACTTACGTCTCTCACCGGCAAACAAGAATGGAACTGGGGAGAAGCCCAAGAAAAAGCTTTCAAAAAACTGAAGGAGTTATTCCGGGAGGACGTGGTACTTGCCATTCCGCTTGATCAAGGGCGATTCCGAGTAGAGGCGGATTCCAGCGAAGGAGCGGTAGGGGCGGTACTCTCCCAGTGGCAGGACGAGAAGTGGAGGCCAGTAGCCTTCCTCTCCAAGGCCTTGTCGATCACGGAACGAAACTACGAGATCTATGACAAGGAGCTCTTAGCCATAATGATCGCCCTCGAGGAGTGGCGGCAGTACCTCATGGGAGCAAGGGAGGACTTTGAGATTTGGACGGACCACTCCAACCTCCAGTACTTCCGTAAGCCTCAGAAGCTCAACCGACGACAAGGCACGGTGGGTAACTGAGCTGGCGGAGTACCAGTTCACCCTGCACCACAAACCCGGGGCACAAAATCGCAAAGCAGATCTCTTATCGAGAAGGGCGGACCACAATCAGGGAAAAGAGGACAACAAGGACATAACAGTCCTCAAGGCGGAGCATTTTAGGGCTCTGATCATGCCGACTACTGAGGAGTTACACGAGAGGATCAAGATCGCCACTCATGATCCCCGCCGTTGGGACAGAGGGATTTCGGACTCCCTCAACCATGAGAAGGGGGTGTCCCGCGAGCAGGACCTCTTATGGTATGATGGGACGTATCTATGTACCGGTCGACCGCGATCTACGAGGGCAGATCATAGCCCTCAAACACGACCACGTCACCGCCGGACATCCCGGAATCGAGAAGACCAAGGAATTGGTACTTCGCTGACTACTGGTGGCCACGAATGCGTAGGGACGTCGAAGCCTACGTGAAGGGGTGCGATATCTGTCAACGTACCAAGGCAGACCGTCGCCCCAAGAAAGCGCCCCTTCATCCAAACGAGATCCCGGCTCGTCCTTGGACCCACATCTCAGTAGACATGATCACCAAACTGCCGAATTCGAAGGGCTATGATTCCATCTTGGTTATCGTCGATCGCTTTTCTAAAACCATCATCCCTATCGCCTGTACTGAAGAGCTCACCTCCCTCGGCTTCGCCAAGATCCTGAGGGATTACGTTTATGTGCCCTACGGAGTAATGCCCGAAAAGGTCATCTCGGATCGTGGCTCCGTCTTCGTCTCCAAATTCATGAAGGAATTTTACACTCTCGTTAACGTCGAAGGAAACCCCTCCACAGCATACCACCCGCAGACGGACGGACAGACGGAAAGGGTGAACCAGGAGATCGAGAAGTACCTCAAGATGTTTGTCAACGATAGGCAGGACGATTGGAGTGAATGGCTGCCCCTAGCAGCCTTCACCCATAATAATCGCCAACACTCGTCTACTGGATACTCCCCGTACAAGGTAGTCTTCGGGAGAGACGGGCAAGTCATCACCGCATCCCGAAAACCGACGATAGTCCCAGCCGCGGCAGAATTAGTGACGGAAATTGAGAAGGCGCAGAAGGAGACCAAGATATCCCTGGAAAAGGCAGCGGACTCGATGAAAAAGGCTTACGACAAGCGTAAAGGCCGGGCCGTGGAGTACCAGCCAGGGGATAAGGTATGGCTCGACACAACCAACCTTCATCTCCCTAGGCCGACCAAGAAGCTTGGGGACCGTCGTGTTGGCCCCTTCACCATTACCGCAAAAAGGGGAGCTTCCGCTTACGAACTAAAACTACCAGTTAAATGGAGAATCCACAACCGTTTCAACGAATCCCTTTTAACGCCGTACCATGCCCCCGAATTTCCAAACCAACCTTACCCCGAGAGGCCACCGCCCGAGTTAATTGATGACGAGGAGGAGTATGAGATAGAAGAGATCGTGGAACAGCGAGATAAGGTGGTAGGCCGCGGACGGGCTCGTCGCGCCATAACTGAATACCTAGTGAAGTGGAAAGGATACCCAAGAGAAGAGAATTCCTGGGTAAAACGCTCGGACATGGCGAACGCAGAAGAACTCGTCAACGAGTACGAAGCCCGCCTTCAAAGAATCTATTGGGAGGTTAACAAGCATGGGCAAACGGTGGGGAGAGACGACAAAATACCACCGGGCGTTGGAATGATTTACCACGACCCGGATACCCCGTGCGTAACGGATATCGAAACCGTTTACTCCTCGGAATGCACGAACCCAAAACATTCCGATTCACAGTCGTCGATAGCGGTACGGGAAGTCACTACGGAGGAAGCAGAGGGAATACCAGTACTGAAAGAAACATCGGACGACGAGGACTCCACGTTGGACCTCGAACACCTACAACGGGTCTATGAAAACTGGGAGTTCGACTCTGAAGATGATGACAACGATGAGGACGATACCTGGTCGTTCTACTCCCAGTCACGACAATCCACCTCAAGCGGTGGAGCCGACTCTTTCCAAACAAGCGCGGCCTAAAAAGGCCATTTCTTACGGTGTAGAAGGGGATTTCCACCGCTTAATCACAAGCATTGAACCCTTAGGGATCGCGGATCCCGACAGACAGTCGAGGCCTAACCGGCGCAAGGTGGCTTAGGAGTTATAGGAACCTAAGTCCAGGGGGAGAGAGGGTCAGAGGCCGAACACAACGAGTGGTTTTTTATGGTGTAGCGGAGGTCCAATCGATCCTGTTTTAAAGCAGAAGGGAGCCCCTCGACTCGCTTATGAGGAAGGAAGGAGATATATTCTCATTCGGGACGAATGAGTCTTAAGGAGGGGGTAATGTTACGATTATTCCTTTTCTTTTTCTTTTTCTTTTCCTTTTACTTTTCTTTTCTTTTCTTTTCTTTAGTCAGCTGGATTACGCGGTGCGCGATCATCACGGACTGACTGCGCAGTAGTATTTTTAGGATATTCACATGTATTTAAGTAGAGCCTCAGCTGGTCTAAACCCCAGCTTCGGCTAAGGTTTATTCTACCTAACTTGAACTCCGTTCTTCGTGACTATTTGTCCCATCGACTTTCATTGCCTTTGATCTGTTGGATCGTCGTCTACCGAAGTGCGAGTAGCGACCCTAACACATCTAAGTCGGTAGAGTTAGTGGCTTACACTCACATAGTAGGTCATGCAGACAGCGATGATGATATCGCACAAGGCGGAGGCTCCCAACCAAATCTGCATAGCGTTCAGAATGATAAACATGGGATACCTAGTCAGTCACGTACCCTGACAGAGATGAATGTCTTCTGGTTGTTGAGCTTAGTGATGTCACCTGCTTGTAAACAGTAGACACCTGTAACTATACCTGCCACAGAACTGGTCAACGATACCTGTAAATAGATGAGCTAGGCTGCTATGATGAAAGAACACAGCAATGAACACAAGTGACAAATACCGGGATCGTTCGTGACTTTGACAATATGAATATTCGGTATGCATAGAAGAACTGTCCGACACAAGTGACTATATTTATTATGAGTAATGGAGAATAAATGGATGATGCTGCACGAACTGACAGCGCTCATGATAGGGACAGTTAACCAACTAAAACTGATTCCAATAAGGCTTTTGATGTCACCGAAGCCGTTCCCGAATGTTTCAAACTCGTCGTGAGCAACAAGTATGGTCTGCACAAATTCGATAGTGTAGATGACATAGACGAGACATTTTGTGGATTGTCTGTCATTCGGAAATGCTAGATAGTACAGATCTGACGAGGTGGCATCACTTAGAAACAATCTACTGGGGAATGCCATGAAGCAATGCACAGAGTTGCACAGAAAGGGTTCTGAAGAGTCCCCAGTGCAAGAGACAAGCGACGATCTGAATTTTTGTGTTAGGGTCAGACTGAATAGGCTAAATATACAACTTGACGAACCAAAGGGCCAGATCTGAAATGAAATGATTCAGTAAAAACCGCTGTTCAATATCCTGACTATAACTTACAATTCTTCAATGGGATAACCTGCAGGGATGGGTTGCATGTTGTGTCTGGGGTTGTTTTACTGATTCCAAAGGGATAAAATCCGTAGATATATACTAAACAGCCATCTTGGAGACTTTCATATTTCTAAGACCGGCCAATATCACATCACTGAAACCGAGATGAAAGGCAGTCCGACTGCTGCGATCTCAAACTATGTTCATCATAGGTCAGTGCGTTAACCTATCAAATGGATTATCGTGATTCTGTTCTACCAGTAAGAAATTTCTGAATGAAGTTGTAGCAGAAGAGTTACTGATTGTACATCTATACCCAGAAGATGCACTGTAACATGATGTAGAGGTGGAGCAGAAAGCACCTGCGTGGCATTGTGATCAAGATCTTCAACAGAAGGCATGGGAAATAAATGTACCGAAATAGAAACCCAAATCTCTAGGCTTGCTCTAGGTTCTAGCGATGATCATCGGCCCACAATATTCTCGTCTCCCTCGATACAGTCTGCTCTCGCTTCTGGTTGATGACCCTGACATCGGTGACCTATTTCGCAGACGATATTTTCCTATGAATACGGAAGCTTAGTCGGCCCAAAATCGAGGCTATAGTGTCCATTTGCTACAAAAATTCCCTATAACTATAGTGGAGTGACTTTTGTAAAAATCCCTATAACTATAGTAATGTCAAATTATACGTATCTTGTAGGGATGCCATCACTTTTTGATTCCTAATTATACGTATCCCTTGTAGCAGTCTCGCCAGCCCTAGCTAGGTCTAGAAACTGTTGCCGTATGGCTGCCGAGTTAGGGTCCATGGGCACTGGATCGGCATTCGTTGCTTGGGCCCGAAAAAAAAATTGCAGCCCAGAAAAATAATATTTAATGATTTACTATTGCCTCCCAACCCATGCGCAGCCTATTTTGGCTGGATGCACCCGTGCATACTTGGACATATAAAACTGTGGGAAAATATCATTCCCAATGCGGTAGCAGCTCTGTCGGCTTTGAAAGCTGGGTAAAATTCTGCATTGCACATGGATTATTTAGGCTCAGTTTAATTAAAATACATTTATGTGATATATAAATGCTTAATAGAGTGCAAATACTGTCATTCAACTGATACACAAACAGGAAAATGCCACTCTCACCATGGTCGGAATTTGCCAGATGCACCCCAATTAGGGGTGTAGGATAGAATACCCTTGCAATCAGGTACTCCTAGGGCTTTCTGTACCTCGAAAATATGATAGTCATATCTTACATTTCATGATTTTACATTTTAGGCCAATAAATTAGCCTTTAATTCATGTTTATTCGACCAATAAATGCGAATAATGGTGAGACAATTGTTGAATTCAACTTTTACAAAAGTATGCAGCACAATGTGCATCTAAATAATGATATAACAAATGAGAAAAAGACTTCTTATGTGAATGTTCAATGATACAAATGCATATATGGATCTGCCCTGAAGTGAATATATTATGAACACTCGTAGTATGCAAAACGAGCTTGTGAACTTTCGTCTGATTCTGTTTTCACTTCTTATGCATGAAACGGTATAATGGTGAGACTATAAGCAGATCGGGGTGGATTGGACTATTATTTTGACTTATACTAGACATAACCCTGCATTTTCAACAAAAAACATACCTATTGAGATGGTGCACAGATATATAGAACTGGTATTTGCTTACAAGTGCTCTAAAATGTGGGGCAACCAATGTAAATTGAGGATTATCATGAGATGAGGGTATCCTGTTGCATTAAAAATTATATATACACAATCCTTATACCTATAATACAAGATTCTGATACGCTTTGTGGCATCGGAGAGTGTACATCGAGCAGTGGAAGCATCCCAATGATGGATTCCGCTCGATCGATCACCCCGGACCAGACAACCATACCATGATCGAGTGGCTGTGCAGCACCATTTTCTGTTCCTCTCCACCACATCCACTTCCTTTCCTGCCCTCTTGCTCATCTGTTTTGCCCATTGTCATGGGTATATGGTATGTTTGAATTGTTTTTTATACTGACATGTCAAATTTAGGTCTTTTTGGCATATCCGGCAGCCCCAAGATCCTCGGGTAGTGACCATTTCATTCCCACCCCATGCATAAGCCCTCGCCTGAGGCAGCACTGCCAGATATGACTGCAACACTGTATGTTGACAATGTGACCCATGCACCCCTGCCATTGCCCTGATACGACTCATATTCTGCCATGACCCATCCCATGCCCCCTACATGCACATTGACCTCGATCGTCATTGGACACACAAGCGCGGCACGATGACGACACAGGATATCACTAGGGTTTCCATATTGGACCTCATCATGCAGCAGGACGGCACCTGTAACAGTGACAACCACAATGACAACGATGACGGAAAAGCCAGGAGACTTCGAGCACAATGAGGGTTAGGGTGGATCTTAGGCTAGGAATGTAGAGGGAGACTGGGCAGCATACTGGGGAGGAAGGGGGAGGGCAGGAGGGCAGGATGGAGACCGGGCTGCCGATGTCCAATGACAGCAGCGACACTGACGTCCATTTGGGCGTCAAATGTTCTCCAAGACATGGGGGATTCGATGGTGGTCTCCATTTTCTCTCACAAGCCCACCATGACGTTCATTAGTGCCATTGATCCCTAAATCGCTCCCTAGCCCATGCCACCTATATGTTAATTTATTTTTGTATTATATAGTATTTTATATTTATTTATTTGTTTTACAATGCTTTAATTATGAATACTAAATATTTTATTACTGATACCCATAAATAGGGAGTGCAAGAGCAGCAAACCTGAGGTAGGAATTGGTTGGGCACATGATGGGGAGAGACCAAGAAATGGATTGCATGTGAAAATTCATGGCTACATATAACTTCGCTTTCTAGTGGATACATGAATTTGACAGGCCTATAGTTATAGGGATTATTACAAAAGTGGTTCCACTATAGTTATAGAGATTTTTACGTAGAATGGACACAAAGGGATGCAAAATCAACCCTCTCACGAGAGATTGCTAGTACTTCTGGTCAGTCAGAGTACACCACGGTTCTGTTGCTGACAGTGATGCAATTTCAACATCAATATTGTGCTACAGAACCATCCCAACATATGACGAGAATGAGAACTTCTCTGTCTTGTTATTTCAGTCCCATGATTTGAACCAACCTTCCCTTCTTGACGCGACCAGAAATCAGATTGGCACCAAGGCTATCACCACATCCCTTTGTGTCCATTCTACGTAAAAATCTCTATAACTATAGTGGAACCACTTTTGTAATAATCCCTATAACTATAGGCCTGTCAAATTCATGTATCCACTAGAAAGCGAAGTTATATGTAGCCATGAATTTTCACATGCAATCCATTTCTTGGTCTCTCCCCATCATGTGCCCAACCAATTCCTACCTCAGGTTTGCTGCTCTTGCACTCCCTATTTATGGGTATCAGTAATAAAATATTTAGTATTCATAATTAAAGCATTGTAAAACAAATAAATAAATATAAAATACTATATAATACAAAAATAAATTAACATATAGGTGGCATGGGCTAGGGAGCGATTTAGGGATCAATGGCACTAATGAACGTCATGGTGGGCTTGTGAGAGAAAATGGAGACCACCATCGAATCCCCCATGTCTTGGAGAACATTTGACGCCCAAATGGACGTCAGTGTCGCTGCTGTCATTGGACATCGGCAGCCCGGTCTCCATCCTGCCCTCCTGCCCTCCCCCTTCCTCCCCAGTATGCTGCCCAGTCTCCCTCTACATTCCTAGCCTAAGATCCACCCTAACCCTCATTGTGCTCGAAGTCTCCTGGCTTTTCCGTCATCGTTGTCATTGTGGTTGTCACTGTTACAGGTGCCGTCCTGCTGCATGATGAGGTCCAATATGGAAACCCTAGTGATATCCTGTGTCGTCATCGTGCCGCGCTTGTGTGTCCAATGACGATCGAGGTCAATGTGCATGTAGGGGGCATGGGATGGGTCATGGCAGAATATGAGTCGTATCAGGGCAATGGCAGGGGTGCATGGGTCACATTGTCAACATACAGTGTTGCAGTCATATCTGGCAGTGCTGCCTCAGGCGAGGGCTTATGCATGGGGTGGGAATGAAATGGTCACTACCCGAGGATCTTGGGGCTGCCGGATATGCCAAAAAGACCTAAATTTGACATGTCAGTATAAAAAACAATTCAAACATACCATATACCCATGACAATGGGCAAAACAGATGAGCAAGAGGGCAGGAAAGGAAGTGGATGTGGTGGAGAGGAACAGAAAATGGTGCTGCACAGCCACTCGATCATGGTATGGTTGTCTGGTCCGGGGTGATCGATCGAGCGGAATCCATCATTGGGATGCTTCCACTGCTCGATGTACACTCTCCGATGCCACAAAGCGTATCAGAATCTTGTATTATAGGTATAAGGATTGTGTATATATAATTTTTAATGCAACAGGATACCCTCATCTCATGATAATCCTCAATTTACATTGGTTGCCCCACATTTTAGAGCACTTGTAAGCAAATACCAGTTCTATATATCTGTGCACCATCTCAATAGGTATGTTTTTTGTTGAAAATGCAGGGTTATGTCTAGTATAAGTCAAAATAATAGTCCAATCCACCCCGATCTGCTTATAGTCTCACCATTATACCGTTTCATGCATAAGAAGTGAAAACAGAATCAGACGAAAGTTCACAAGCTCGTTTTGCATACTACGAGTGTTCATAATATATTCACTTCAGGGCAGATCCATATATGCATTTGTATCATTGAACATTCACATAAGAAGTCTTTTTCTCATTTGTTATATCATTATTTAGATGCACATTGTGCTGCATACTTTTGTAAAAGTTGAATTCAACAATTGTCTCACCATTATTCGCATTTATTGGTCGAATAAACATGAATTAAAGGCTAATTTATTGGCCTAAAATGTAAAATCATGAAATGTAAGATATGACTATCATATTTTCGAGGTACAGAAAGCCCTAGGAGTACCTGATTGCAAGGGTATTCTATCCTACACCCCTAATTGGGGTGCATCTGGCAAATTCCGACCATGGTGAGAGTGGCATTTTCCTGTTTGTGTATCAGTTGAATGACAGTATTTGCACTCTATTAAGCATTTATATATCACATAAATGTATTTTAATTAAACTGAGCCTAAATAATCCATGTGCAATGCAGAATTTTACCCAGCTTTCAAAGCCGACAGAGCTGCTACCGCATTGGGAATGATATTTTCCCACAGTTTTATATGTCCAAGTATGCACGGGTGCATCCAGCCAAAATAGGCTGCGCATGGGTTGGGAGGCAATAGTAAATCATTAAATATTATTTTTCTGGGCTGCAATTTTTTTTTCGGGCCCAAGCAACGAATGCCGATCCAGTGCCCATGGACCCTAACTCGGCAGCCATACGGCAACAGTTTCTAGACCTAGCTAGGGCTGGCGAGACTGCTACAAGGGATACGTATAATTAGGAATCAAAAAGTGATGGCATCCCTACAAGATACGTATAATTTGACATTACTATAGTTATAGGGATTTTTACAAAAGTCACTCCACTATAGTTATAGGGAATTTTTGTAGCAAATGGACACTATAGCCTCATCACCATTAAAGTCAGTCCTGTTCAAAAAGCGCCTTTGATCTGACATTTAATCTTCTCGACTTACCTTGCTCTATACAGATTTCGATGAGTAACTCTAGCTATAGCTTTCTATTTCATTGCAGCGGTGGCACAACTGAAGGCCAACCAACGTTTTCTTTAGTGTGTATGATCAATGGAGCGATGTGCCAGTACATCCAAGTCGTAACATTTGAATTGGCATTTATAACATGACAATAAACAATTTAGGGTGATGTGAGCTCAAAAAGTACTCTGCTAACAGTTATGATCCAACGCTTTTGCTCTGCCATTTATCCTTGATAGAAAATCAGCTCCGATGAAGCATGTGAATCACCACGACTGACATTCATTCGGCCCATCTCATAATCATTGTTGAATATCTCTTTACTTATCGCAACCGCTGGGGCCTGTTCTTGCATCCTGTCCATTTGTTGTGTTGATTGGGAACTAGTATCCCGCATCAAAGCGGTTGTGAAGCTTATATCAGTAGAAGCCAGATAGGTTTCGCGTCCTCCCAAAATTTGGATTCACGAATTCAGTACCATGTAAATGGTATTAGCATAAAGCTTGGGCATGATGAGGGCGGGTGTCGTGTAGAAAGTCTGATGACGGAACGCAAAAAAGAGGATAAGATTGAGCAGAGCGACAACAGCTAAAAACCAGACATTCAGTCTTCTGTCAGTGATAACGGTCGATGGTGCGGATTACATACCTGTCACAGATCCCGTTTCAATAGTAAGACGAACTAGTTTTGTGACCAAAATTCATGTCTGACGCAGACCGGTATTTCTGCGCATAAGCTACGAAACAGGATGAGCACCATTGAAGATAGTTGAAAAAGATAAAGAGTTCACGTGGTAAGTCATGCAGATAGCGATGACAATATCACACAGGGCAGAGGTCCCGCACCAAATCTGCGTGCCATGCGGATCAGCACAATGAACATGGATGTTTAGTATTATTTACCCCGACCGTGATGAATATTTTCCTCTTATCGAGTTCAATAATATTACCTGCTTCAAAAGAGTAGACGCCTGTAATTATAGCTGCCGCAGAGCTGGTCAAGGATACCTGTAAATAAATGAGCTAGACTCCACAGAGAAAGAGCACTGCAACGAACACAGGCGATGAATATAGGGATGATTCGCGACCTCGACAATATAAAGATTCGGTATGCATAGAAGGTTTGTCCGACGTAAGCAACTGTACCCTGATAGTAAGTCATAGAAAATGAGTAGAAGGTGCTACACGCACCGACACCGCTTATGACGGGGACTGTGAGCCAATTAAAATTTATTCTAGTCAGGGCTCCGATGTCACCAAAACCGTAACCGAACACTGCAAAGACATCGTGGGTGACGAGCACCATTTGAACAAACTCGATGATGTAAACGCCATAGACAAGACATTTTGTAAATCGTCTATCCTTCGGAAATGCGAGATAGTACAGATCTAACCAGAATGAATCAGAAACAATATTATTGGAGAGTGGACGACGCACACAGCTGCACGGAAAGAGACCCAAACAGTCCCCAGTGCAAGAGAGAGGCGACGATCTTAATTGCCATGTTAGGTACTTAATAGGCTCAACGCAACCCTTTACGAACCAAAGGTCCAGACCTAAAATGAGCTGTTTCAGTAAATGCCAATCAATTTGAAAATCATAGCTTACAGCTTTTCTACGGGATAACCTGCGGGTATGGGCTGCATTATATCTGGGGTCGTTTTGCTGGTCCTGAAGAGAAAGAACCTGCCATACATATATCTCTGACAATCATCGTGCGAGACTTGAAAGAAGGCGCATAGGTACGCAAGGCCGATCGGCATTACACCACGGCAACTGATCTGAATGGCAATTCCAAATGTTCATCAGCGGTCAGCGCATTGTCAAGTTCATATTGAAACTGCCCCCCAGAATAGGCTGTGGGAAGAAGGAACCTGAACTTGACGATATCACCCTATATAATTATCCCATCCGACCTCTAGTTATCCAAATGAGGCGTCGAAAGCAGCTTCTTATTCCCTAGATGCCCCCGTCGCGAGTCGGAAATCTTCCTGGTGTTTCATTGTCTGCTAATTTTGTTCATTCGAAAAAGTTCCGCTATAGCTCGGAATGCGGAATCAAAGTGGGCTACGGGCGGCAATTTCTGTATCCGTCTTGCACCGAACAATCTCAGTGTCATGTCCTCCGATTATCCCTCGGAAAACATACCACACAGAGATGGGGGCGGTCAAGGAGACGTACTCGTCAACATCGACTGTAAATATGCCCTGGCATGGTGGGCGGAAAGATCTTCCGATAGACAGGCACGGGAAAGGAGAGATTAACGGCATCATCGATAATTATGAGTTCTTCCTAACCCACCTCAGCGGAGTCCATGGATCACAACATTAACCTATGTCCATAATAGCTCCTGGGGATTAACCAATCGTCAGCCGACCAGATTCTACTCTCCTTTGGACAGAACCATCCCAATACGTGACGAGAATGAGAACGACTAAGCCTTGATAATATCTTGCTGCAAAAGGCGGACGAACTGATCCAGCAGTTCGATCTTGGATTGAAGACCATGGCCGTCATGATGTCAGTCGTCTCCAAGCTGCTATGTGCCTTTGGGTTTGACATTCATGTTTTGTTTACACCTCATTGGCAGTTGAGAAGAAGTAATTCTGAGTATAAATTCCTACACATCGCACAGCAGCACACAAGGTCGTAACCTTTGGTATTGATGCCTGTTGCAATAAATAAATTAGAGTGAGTTTCCATACACGGTGTCGGCTCAGAGAACATACTCTATCAGTTACGTAGGGAAGCTCATATCGCCGTCCTGTGGTTTGTTCTTGAGAGAAATTTAGCTCTAATAAAGCACATGAATCGTGATGACTCACACACATTTAACCTGTTGTTGAATACTTCTTTAGATATCACGACCACTGACACCTGTCCTTCCGTCCCGTCTGCAGGCTGTGGGCGTTCTGTTGATTGGAAGGTCATATCCTCCATCGTAGTGCTCGTAGTGCTCGTATCAGTAGGAGACGTATATGTATCCCGTCCACCCATAATTCGGAATCGCGAGTTCAGCACCATGTAAATGGTATTAGCATACAGCTTAGGGATGACGAAGGCTGTTGTCCCGTCCAATGCCTGATGAGGGAAGGAAAAAAAGAGGATAAGGTTGACTAGAGCAGCAGCAGCTGAACGCATGCGGTGTTAATTCTGTAACAATGGCGGATGGTAGGGAGTAAATACCTGTCACAGTTCCCGTTTCAATGATGAGACGAATTAGTTTGGTGACTAGAATTTGTGTCTGACGGACATCAGCATCACCGCGCATAAGCTATGGGACGATATGAACATCATGGAAGATAGCAGAGAGAGGAGCTCACGTAATAAGTCATGCAGATAGCGATGAGAATATCACACAAGGCTGCTGCTCCGCCCCAAATCTATGCATGGATTAGCACGATGAACCTTGGGACGCCTAGTCAATCACTTACTCCAATGGCAATAGACAACCGCGTGTTATGGGTGTCGGCGATGTTCCCTGTTTGAAAACAGTAGGCGCCTGTGATTATAGCTGCCACAGAGCTGGTCAAGGACACCTGTAAATAGATGAGCTAGACTGTCACAGAGGAAGATCGTGGCAGCGGACACAGGCGATGAATATCGGGACGGTTCGTGATCTTGACAATATGAAGATTCGGTATGCATAAAAGACCTGTCCGACACCAGCAACTGTATGAATTATAAGTAATGGAAAACAGACAGACGATGCTACACGAACCGACAGCGCTCATGATAGGGACAGTTAGCCAATTAAAATACATTCCAGTCAGGGCATCGATGTCGCCGAAGCCATACCCAAACTCTGCAAAGGCATCATGGGTAACGAGCATCGTCTGAACAAACTCGACAATGTAGATTCCATAGACAAGGCATTTTGTAGATCGTCTGTCTTTCGGAAATGCTAGATAGTACAGATCTAATGGGAATGCATCAGGAGCAATCAACTGAGGAGTGACTCAGAGCGACGCACAGAGTTGCACAGAAAGAGTCCCGAAGAGTCCCCAGTGTAAGAGATAGGCAATGATCTAAATTACCGTGTTAGCAACTGAATGGACCAAACGCACAATTTGACAAACCAGAGGTCCAGACCTTAAAAGAGATGATTCAGTACATGTCACTGCTTGATTCCATGATTATAACCTACAGTTGTTCTATGGGGTAACCTGCGGGGACGGGCTGCATGTTGCGTCTGTGGTTGTTCTACCGGACCTGAAGGGAGAGAACCTGTACATATATACCAAACAACCATGTGAAAGATTTGAAAGAAGGGGTTCGAATACCTGAGGCAGGTCAGCATCACATCACATACGTTGCGCTGAAAAGCAGTCCAACTCTAATATCAATCAAGTTCATTAGTAGTCTGCGGCGGATTAACTCGCGGGGTTGATTATCGTGATTCCGTTTCACCAGTTCAGAAGAAATCTTTGAACCAAGTTAGAGCGGGGGAGATGCTAGCGCATTAATAACTTGAAACCACTCACCATGCTATACAGTTATGGCTGAGCATCATCTATTTTCTACTCTCATGCACAAGGTGTATCGAAAGAGGATGTTTATGCCGCAGGTTCTTCCATCATCAGGAATATTTCTGACCTTTCATAGCATCCAGTGATCTTGCTGGCCCGAAGAAGCCACACGAATGCGTCATTAATGCGTACTACGCTCTCTTTGCGAACCATTTCTTGGACATGTCTTCCAACGAGCCTCCCCCTCGGTAATCGTACTCCACTGAGAACGATACAAAAGTCGTAGAACTGTCCCAAAGAGCGCTCAGCGCACATGCATTGTGCCTGAAGGTACTGTGGCATGTAACGACGAGATGAGATGACGGATAAAGGGAGGCGTGGGAAAGAAATGTACCGAAATAGACACTCGAACCTCAACTCAAATCCAACTCAGCTCCAACTGCTACTTTACAAGTCGCAAGCAATGAACGTTCCGGCAGCTAGCAGCAAGGATTCCGGTCTCGTATGGAAAGCCCTACTTCCAACCAGTTCTCGTAGGACGGTTTCGCGTTGCGCGCGCTCACCGTTCTTTTGTCGCACAATATTAATGTCAAAGTTGCCTTGTTCTACCTGCCGTCAGCCAGCGACAGATCCATGGAACACTCTGACTCAACAAGTCTGAGATGGCAGGAATGTCAGTGTTTTGGCGATCTCCGACCTGGGGGTCGTTCAAGTTCCAGTCCTGAAGGGAAAGCGGCCGGATACATACTTCCGGCAGTCATCATGAGAAGCTTGAAAGAAAGCGTAAAAATACCCAGGACCAGTCAGCATCCACGGCAGCTGAGCCGATTCTCGAACGGCAGTTTCGACTATACCAATGTTCATCAGCGGTCATCCGTTATCAGCGCATTGGTTCCTCAAGTTAATAATGGCCATGATCCCGCACCAAGGTTCAGAAGAAATGGAAGTACTGACAGCAGATAAATTGGCACGTTGGTATCAAGCTAATATTGAAGCCTCCCCTGGAATAATCTGTAAGAGGGAGCACGAACCCCCTTTGATATTTTAGTCTACAGGAAGCCGCCGTTCTTATGCCCTGGATTCTCCCATCGTGAATCTTCCTGGTATTCCACACTGGTGTCTGATGACTTTGTTAGGTCAAAAAGGTTTCACAGTTCGGAATCAATGTGGCTGTATCTGTCTCTGCTTCATGTCGCTCGTATCCGCCGACAGTCGTACTCCACGGGGAGAGCGGTCAAGGAGACATAGAACTAGGCAGGGCTCATTGCATCGAAGGAAATGCATGTATAAGGATTAATATGCGTGGACCGAAATAGGAACTCGAAACAATGACTATCATATGGACCACCGACGATCCCGCTAATTCTTGACTTTCTTTCCCGGGTGAGTGCTGAGCGCTGAAGACAAGTTCGTCAACGTCGACTGCAAATACACCCTAGCGGATCTTAACTATTATTGAACCATGAATTGAGGCACTTTCCCATCAACATTCGAGAGTTCTTGACGTGCCTTCTTACCCACCTCAACCGGGTCCAGATCTGTCGACAGGGACGGCAACAGAGTCATAGCCTATAATATCTTGACTGCACCTGGGGATCAACTTCTCAGCCGACCAAATTTCACTCTCCTCCCAAAACTTACCGTGACTGATTTTATCACTTCAACGGTTGTTGACTTTGATATTCGCGATGTGTCTTGTCAGTTGATGCTTTGGCTTATGCGAGTATCAGCAAAAAAGTTTTGCACATACTCGTTCTCAAGGTAGTGAAGCCGTTTGTTAACAATGACGAGACTATGCAGAGGATCTCCGAAAGTATCTTCTGGATGGCACACGAGGTCGATCAGGGTACCGGCGATGATCCTCCGATTGTCGTTTCCATCACAAGTGCGAGAAGGGGCCACTATAAGCATCGTATCACGAGAGATTGGCTGAAATCGCACTGTTGGGCGGACCTGCTGTCAGTAACAAATTTATGGAGTACCCGTCGTCTCCTGCGTTGCTTGAAAGGCCGACGCATCGACCAGAGAAACATGATGAGCCTTGGGATCAGGGTAGTGTCTGGACGTCAACACAGCGCACTTGTATCGAGAAGATTTAGGCGGTGTAAATAATACATGCCCGTATAACATTTTCCCGCCTGCTTAGGCAGGAACAGGACCCGTCATGATCCTTTTTTGAATACTTTGTCAATAATCTCGCTGTGAGCTCAAGAGATGTATCCTTGAATTTATATGGTGCAATTTATACTTCGTCCTGCGGTTTGTTCTTGGGAAGAATCAGTTCCAATCAAGTGAATGAATCACGATGACTGACATTCATTCGACCCATTTCATATCCATCGTTGAATACCTCTTTAGTTATCGTGACCACTGGCGCCCGGCCTTCTGTTCGCTTTGTGCCGCCTGTTGATTGGGAACTGGTATCCCGTAACATAGAACTCGTGACGCTCATATCAGTTGAAGACGTGTAAGTATCACGTCCACCGATAATCCGGATTCGCGAATTCAACACCATGTAAACGGTGTTAGCATAGAGCTTGGGCATGAGGAGGGCGGGCGTCGTGAAGAAAGTCTGACGGGGGAACGCAAAAAAGAGGATAAGGTTGAGCAGAGCGACAACAGCTAAAAGTAGGCCGTGTCAATCTTCTGACAACGGTGAATTGTGCGGATTACATACCTGTCACAGATCCCGTTTCAATAGTGAGACGAATTAACTTTGTGACTATCATTCGGGTACGCCGGAAACCAGTATCGCTGCGCATAAGCTATGGAACAATATTAATGAAGATGACTGAAAGAGAGAAAGAGCTGACATAGTAGGTCATACAGATAGCAATGACAATATCACACAAGGCGGAGGCGCCGCACCAAATCTATGCATGGATCAGCATAATGAACATGGACGCCTAGCCAGTTATTTACCCCGACCGAAACGAAAATTTTCCTCTTATCGAGTTCAATAATGTTACCTGCTTCGAAAGAGTAGACACCTGTGATTATGGCTGCGACAGAGCTGGTCAACGACACCTGTAAATAAATGAGCTAGAATGTCGCGGAGAAAGAGCACTACAACTAACACAGGTGACGAATATAGGGACGATTCGTGACTTTGACAATATGAAGATTCGGTATGCATAGAAAACCTGTCCGACGCAAGCCGCTGTACTCATGATAAGTATCAGAAAACAATCAGAAAGTGCTGCATGTACTGGCACCGCTGATGACGGGAACAGTGAGCCAATCAAAATGAATATCAATGACGGCTTCAATATCCCCAAAGCCATAACCGAACACTGCAAAGGCGTCGTGGGTGACGAGTACCATCTGTACCAATTCAACAATGTAGATGCCATAGACGAGAGATTTTGCGAATTTTCTATCGTTCGGAAAAGCCAGATAGTACAGATCTAAACAGAATGAATTAGAAACCATATCATTGGCAAATGAGCGACGTGCAAAGCTGCACAGAAAGGGTCCCAAAGAGTCCCCAGTGCAATAGACAGGCAACGATCTGAATTACCGTGTTAGGGTCTGAATGGCTAGACGCAAAAAAACAGACCACAGGTCCAGACCTGAAATAAACTGGTTTAGTATATACCACTTCTCGAGTTCGTGATGATAACTTACAGTCTTTCTATAGGATAACCGGGGGGGACGGGCAGCATGTTGTACCTGGGGGGTCGTCTTACCCGTCTTGAAGGGAAAGAACCTCTATATATATATTTCCAACACCCATCATGAGAGACTTAAAAGAAGACGCACGAGTACCCAAGGCTGGCCAGCATCGAAACACAGAATCTGAGCCCAATGGCAGTTGTCAGTCATGTCCATCAGTTGTCAGCGCATTGATCTGTCAAATTCATTATCATAATCCCATACCACGGTTCAGAAAAGAAATCACTCGCACGTCGACATTGAACTTACCCCGGAATGAAATGTAAGGAGGCACACAGCTAGTTGTCCTGCAGGCGCATCGAAAGCAGCTTTTTATCCTCTGGTTTCTGTAACATCGTAAATCTTCCTGATCTTCCACGATGTCTGGTGATCTTGTTGGTTCAAAGAACATCCACTGCTCCGAATGCGGAATGGATGTGGACTACGGTAGTAATCTCTGTATCCATCTCTCCAAGTGTCTCCCGCCATTGATACTCCGGGAAGAGCGGTGAAGAAGACGTAGAACTGGGCTAGCTCGAGGGCTCGTCGTATCGGTCGTAATATAAATGTGGGAAAGAAGCGTGCCTTGCCTGGTCTCCCCCTAGGCAAACTCTCAAATCAAGACAGATAGAAACCCGAAACAATGACCACCAATATTGTGACCATCTATCCCGCCAATCTACAAGAGTTCTTGACTTTCTTTCCAGGGCAACCAGTAATGGAGACCAGCTCGTCGGTGTCAGCTGCAAATGCGCCCTGGCTTGGTGGGTGGAAGGATCTTATCTATGATTGGACCAACAGAATAAGGCACTTTCCCGCCAACATTCAAGAGATTTTGACGTTTCATCCTAACTGAACTCGGTTGGATCCAGAATCAACAGAGGCTTGTGCTGCCTATAATATCTTGACGCCCCTGGAGATTAACATCCAGCCGAGTAGATCCTACACTCAGGCTCCCTGAACCTGTATCACTTCAACGGTCATTGACTTCAACACCAGTGATATGTCTTGTCATTCGATACTACCGAGCCTTCACAGTATGCGAATATTGGCACTCAAGGACGAAAATAGCGTGAGTCCATATGAGCAATGTGATACCACAGTGATGGATCCTATCGTTTTGAGGGGGAACATTGGAGCTTCAGACGATATAAATTTCGTATTAGCCCATACAGTTGTAAACGCTCTACGAATATCATGTCAAGGGTGAATGCGTGAGCGTATTGCTTCAACAACGTACGCTAAAATGTACACAGCGATGCATTATGACTCCTGGCTTCACTAAGCCTAATCCAATGCACATCCATAGACTTTCTTGGCGGTATTCCTCCATCTCTCGACATCAATGGCGAAGTCTTGAGCATATTCGACCTCAAGGTGGTGAAGTCGTTTGCCGACGATGACAAGACTATGCAGAGGGTCTCCGAAAGCATCTTCTGGATGGTTCACGAGCTCGGTCAGGGTACCAGCGACGATCCTCTGATTGTCGCTTCCACCGCCAACACGAGAAAGCGCGACTGCAAGAGTTATATCAGGAGATAGCGTCCCGGTCTGCCTTAGAGACTCTATCTCTATGAGTTGAGAGACAGCCTGTCGTATCGACATGTATCGAGGTGGTTCATAGATCTTCCGACCACTGACATGAACATAAGATGGGAGAGAGGGAGAGAGGAAGAAGGTTCCTCACCGAGCTAGATTCTCCTCGCTTTGCTCCTTGACCTTTATATCCAGCAACACGAGCGTGTGCAAACCGAGATCCGCGTTCTCCTTGATCCTATCGTAAAAGCTGTCGGGTTTCCATGTCTCTGTGAAGAAGACTAAGGAAACTGTCTGTCCAAAGTTGTAGAGTTGGAGACCACAGGCGCCGACTGCGTTCATTATCGATGCATTGTGGATGACGCGAGTAGGGATACCCAGGGCACGAGCTCGAAGGATGATGTCGGTATGTGTCGTTGCCCTGCGAGCTCCAGTGTAAGTCTACTACCGAAGAAAATGAAACGTTACTCACCCAAATGGATCTCCAACAACCAACAAGGATACATCCTCCCTGTCTGCATTTGCCAGTATTTCGTCGCTCTCCGTTTCCACCGTGTCCCGGTCGGCGAGAATCAGTGGTTTTTCGTAGAATGCTTCCTTGCATACGTCGGCCCAAGAAATATCGTGATGAGTGAGTATCATACCAGTTTCTCTTTTTGAACCATCAAGATACTAGTATATGCTTCCAAATATACGCGTGAAGAACTCTTGATGGCCTGTAAAAATGGTAAGGCATGGGCCAGTCAGAGTATAGTGAATATTCTACCTCGAGTCCGCGAACGGTGACATCTTTTTCATCGCAAAGCCCAAGACCGATAATGTAGAACATGGTGGTAGAAGGAAAGGAAAGCGAGAATTAGTTTCGGCAATCTCCGTGACGCTGAAAAAGCATTGCGAAATTTTATTTCACGTTTACCGCAAACATTGAAATTGAGAAATTTAGAATTCATCTACATGTCTATCTACATCGCCCATTCTGCGTTCCCGTTGTACAGAAAAATCGATAAAGTAATACATTTACAGCATTGCATACGCCTTACCTGCCATCTTTGCATTTCCTGAGTATACTGGCAACTCAGACACATACGCCTGCCAAGTCTCGTTCGACACGATGGGTGCAGTCGCAAAATCCGCCATGTTCAGTCCAGAAATGTACGACGTCAAGTGCGGCAGCATCGAAGAAACAGCACGATCTTCGCGCATGCGTTGTTGCACTCGCAAGACTCCAGCTTCGGAGTACCAGGCTGGATCTTGGCGAATCACAGCGCATTCGTATACATCCAAGATAGGCTGAGGGAGTTTGGCTTTCTTCGCTGCGGAATATGCAAAGGCATGGCCCAGAGCCTCGATGACTGGTTGAGATTGGGGAAGAATGAGGGAGTTGAATTCTTCGTTGCGATGGTCACCTATTCCAGCAAGGAGCTGGCTATTCTCTTCCATCAGACCGTGAGCATGCTGGGCCAGCAAGGATTCATCAGCGTCTGGTAAGGGGATAGTGTAGCGCTTCAAAAGAAGTTCGGAGAACAACCGGATGCACAAGGTAAGGACCTCGCCCTCAGCAACGACAGCACCTGCTCGAGGAATCAATAACTTGAGCATGAACATAATTCGAGTGTATCTGACCTTTCCCGTCGTTCTAAAAGACATTATCATGTTAGCGCGAGTATGCTCAAAGCCAGCGGATATCTTACCTCCATTCTTGCCATGTAATTCTGTTCGAATGTTCCTACGAATATGTTGAAAGTTGGCTCCGCAATATTTAACGACTACACACCTTGTGCGCCACAGCGCTCCGAGATCTCGGCTATGCAGCGCTGGAAGTGACGGACCACCGTAGCCTTCGTAATGACAGCCATAGCATGCCGAAGGCGACCATCCAATGCAGAATCTCGCGACTCTTGTGTGACCGATGCATACCAGTGATCCAACACGTATCCCACGGCGACTGAATGAGCAATCGGCCATTGCTGGGTCCTAAACGAGATTATCGGGACCATGGAAGAGCTTCTGCGATCTGTGATGCACCGGTGCATGGAATAACGACCGACAATATAAGCCGACATCTTCACAGCATAGATCAAGGGAGATATGATCAACAATGAGCCTAACTGTATTCTCCAGTTCTCATCCCACCATGCTTCTAATGGCTGTTCGGGAGCGGTGATGTTGTGAGGATCGGCGGCCACTAGCGCCGTCGAAGGAAGGCGGACGTTGTCAAACGAGGTGATGGAGAAATCGAGCGGGCCAGTTCCACTACGACGGGGAAGGCGTGTGGACTTTACACCAGTGTACATTTCTTTTTCATCGCTGGTTAAACGAATGAGCGAGACTGATGCATTTATTGAGAGTAGCCAGCAACTTACCAGATAGGTACTATAAAATATCTACACCCGAAATCTTTGCCTTTATCCATGAGCCTTGCCATGACCAACGCAACCTTTGGTATACCAAAGGCGGGCGTAGAGGCGGGCATAAATCTATTCAGTGTAATCAGTAGGGGCACTTTCAGGGAAAAGCCAATCTTACTTGGTAGCCTCTTCACGCGGAGTGTTGAGAACGTAGCTTCCGTCGGACAACCGTGTAGCCGTAGTTTCAATATTGAAAGCATCGAGGCCGTGGCCGCGTTCAGTCAAGAGAAAGATGCCTACTTTCTCAAAACGAAGCAGTTCAGAGACCAGGGGCCTTAAGTCCGGACGGGCATCAAGGTGGCGCGACAGAGTACCAATGGTCAAGCCCACATGGGCAGCAAGAATGGTAAACATTCCGACATCCAAACATGTTGCAGGATCTGTGAACAAGCCCCAGAAGCGTTCAGAGCTGTGTTGAACGTCGGAGGCCGTCATGCCTGGTCAGGAAGTCAAATTATCTTGATGGCAAGGAAGAACATATTTGACATACTATGAGTACTGAGCATGAGTTTCGCTCTCTTGTATGCGAGAGCAACTCGTTCATCAGTAGTGAGCTTCTCTACTTGAGTACGAAAAAGAGGGTGCTTCGCCAGTGTAGAGTTGCTGTTCATCGCTGAAAATCTTACAGCATGATGCTACTTCGCAAGCCTTTTATATGAGAGCCTTGCGCCGAACGCAAATAAACGCTTTTGGACAGACGGAATGCATGCATTTTTTCAGCGTCCATAGTAACTTTCCGTTGCACCGGTAAGTAGCAAGTGAATGATTAAAGCTTAGAGATCGTTTCGTGTTCAAGATAGCGGGCTAGAACACATGGATCCGGATAACGTATCGCCTTTCAAACGACGTCAAGTAGGATTCTTCGTAACAAAGTAGGAGCTTACCATCTGATGGTTTGGAACTTTATGATGGTCTTAAGGAACACCAGTGTTTAACGTTTATCATCAGCCCAGATATCGCCGAATAATTCCCACGCTTGCTCTTCTGTTCCTGTCGCTGCCAACGCGCTTTTTTCTTCAGGTTGTTTGCGTTCTGACCCTTCACCAGCTTCAAAGTATCGTAGGCACCTCTTAGCAAAGAAATGATTTTTTTAGGCATCAATGGTCACCAGTTGCCACCGGAAAAGGTTCCGTGGATTTAATCAGAAGATTGTCTGCGGACCTATAGATGCCACAGCGCCTACAACATCGCATGGCAAGCAAATGATCATCTTCGGATTTCCATCCATTTGCATTGCGGAACTTATCATGATTCAATCTCCTCAGTCACCGTGCGCTTTCTGATGCACATTTTGATGATCACGACGGAAATTGCACTTATTATTTTGCTACCCCCCATTCAGTTGTCCCATCATCATCATGATACCGATAGCCTTCGTGCGGTTCGCAATCAAGTCGGAGCCAGCGCCCACAGCACACGTCATTCTTGAACCAGCTAAGCCTTTAGCCCATCAAGCCCGTGCTCGAGTTAAGGTCGTTATATGGAGAATGTTTTCATGCGGGGGCAGTAGTTATCATCATCCTCCTTCCCTGCAGCCATGACAGAATTCAGATCCTCTATTCCGTTACCGTTCATTCCTGATGACCTTACTGTACCCCAGTTCCTCCTCGATGATTACAACCATCCGTTGAGTGAAATGAGGAAAGGGGACGATGCAGTCTGGCTCATAGATGATGTTACCGGAAGGGAATACACGTTCAAGGAGGCCAGTAATTGAAATGAAAATCGCAAGATGACTAACGTTTTGATACAGTTGCGCACCCGCAGTAACGACTTGACGAAAGGCCTGCATGGTGAATGTAACCTTAGTAAGATTCCCCAGGATCTAAAATCAGAGTGTAAATTCACTTTAATATCTCGTCTTTAGAGGAAGGCGATGTTGGTGAGTCAATGATTAATTCATTACGTGACAAAACAATCTCACATCTATCGTGTAGTATTGTTTTTCAGCCCCAATCATATCGGTACGTGAAATCCACCGACCTGCGAGCCAGCAGGACCAGCTCACGGATATTATAGACTATGTCGTTGCGACATGGGCTATCCACCGACTTGGAGCGACAATCGCGTGGGTATCCTTCCAACGGGTTACACAACTTGTACTCAACCCTTTTTTTAGGGCTGCGAATCCCCTTTACACTGTTGAGGAGCTAGAGAATTTGTTATCGCTAACAAAGGCAACTAGAATACTTACCGACGAGCGTTTCCTCAATGTCGTCACCCCTGCAGCGAATACATTTGGTATCCCTGCAAGTTCAATTCTATTATTCGATGTCGGAACCGTTAATCCTAGTTCGGCCTACACTATGGTGTCGGAACTGGTATCACATGGAGAGAAATCATCTGCTCATGTTCCGGAGAAGCGGTTGGCTCCAGGTGAAGGCAAGAAAAAGGTTGCTCTCCTTTTTTTCTCCTCCGGAACCACCGGGAAACCCAAGGCACGTACGGGTGTGTCACGATCTGATACTGCCTATATTTTTGATCTTCCTCACAGGCGGTGGCGCTTTCTCATTATGCTGTTATTGCCAACATCCTTCAGATGACAGCTCATCAGAGAGAAAATGGAAAACCTCGGGGACCTGAGAAATGGGCTCTTTTGGCTGGGGATGTGATTACGGGGTGTAAGTATATCAACCTCCACGTTTCACCGGCGCTCACTGTTCCCCAAGTATTGCCCTTTTTTCACGTTTACGGTCTGATCGCAAACGTGAGGACTGCATGCTCTTTGATGTATTCTTCGTACAATCTGACGATGCTCCAAAGATATACTGGGCCTTGTTCCTGGGGGTATGTTTCAAACCGAACTGTTCGAGCTTGCGCATCTCTGACCAGTACATATCACAAGATGACTGTTGATGTTGTGCCGAGATTCAGCCTATCTAGCTTTCTCACAAGCATAACGAAGTATCGCATCGCCCATCTTTAGTACGAAACATTTATTATTATTTTCCTTGTATAACTGTTTTCCTCCAGTCTTGTCCCACCCCATGTGGTCATAATTTGCAAGGTGGGTAAGAATCCGAACAAGTAGATATGCACTAATCACTCATTATCACAGGATCCCTCGGTGGCTTCTCGCAACTTTGACCACGTTAAACTAATCTTCACCGGAGCCGCGTCTCTCTCCGTCGGTCTCATGCATCAAGCCACAAAAGTCTTCCCAAACGCCGCTATATCCCAAGGCTATGGTAAGCCCCATCCATCAAAAACCTTAACTCCCGTCTGACCCCCTCTATAGGTATGACAGAGACCATCATTGCTGCAATACAGCCGGTCGACCAGCGAATTAGTACAGGAGGATGCGGCCCAATGCTCCCGGGTTTCGTCGCTAAGGTCGTCAAGGCTGACGGAACACTCGCTGTTGCGGGAGAAACAGGAGAACTAGTCATGACCGGACCTTCTGTGGGTTTGGGATATGTTGGAGACGAGGAAGCGTGAGTTTTCTCCGCTCTCCAAATACGTATCTCCTAACGGCTTATTTTTCAGCACAAAATCCACCTTCATTAACGGGTAAGAACTCAAAATTCGTCTCCCTGTAGAATCGAGATGCTCAATCTCTTTTTGTTCAAGGTGGGTTCGTTCCGGAGACGAAGTTAGATTTAGCGAGTCTGGAGAATTGTTCGTAGTGGATAGGCTTAAAGTAAGTTTACACCGGAGCAACACCATGTCTGCGCTTCAACTTTCATAGGAACTTATCAAAGTCCGCGGCTTTCAAGTTGCCCCCGCCGAAATAGAGGGTAAACATATTCATTTCTACGCGTATATTTTTTTATTAAACCTTATCCTAGATCACCTCATGAGCCATCCTCATGTGGCTGACGTCTGTGTAGTGCCCATCGCAGACGAGTAAGCCTGGTTGCTGTCCTAATTATAGACTTTCACTCAGCCTATTCAATAGATACTCTGGTGAACTTCCTTTGGCATTTGTTGTTCCCAGCACGCAAGCACGCCAAATGATCGCCGATGGTGGCGATCCGGAAGCCATTAAAGAACAGATCAAGCAGGTGAGCGAACCAGCTCTCGAAAGATTTGTTACCCTAATCTGACGCTGGGCGAACCCAAAGCATGTTGCCGAGCACAAAGTGAAAGAAAAGTGGCTTACCGGTGGCGTTCGCTTTGTAGATTCTGTTCCAAAGGTGAGTAAATTTATTACTACCTGAGTTTAGCGTGGCACTTATCGATCGCTAATATCAATAGAGCCCGAGTGGAAAGCTACTTCGACGGGTCCTTCGAGATGGATTAAAGGTTGCGGCTTAGATATACGAAAGATTCATATGCACGTCTGTGCCTTCTGATTTACGCTCGTCAAACATGAGCTTTTTTCGTTGAATAAATATCGTTACAAATTTTGTATATGAAGTTGAAAAGATGAGCTCAGAGAGCAATCCTGTAGATAACTGTGCAAGCTAAGTCACACCGGATAGATGAGAATTTGAGGGAAAGCAGAATGCGCACAATAAGGTAACGTTTTGGGAGGACGATCTTGGCAGTGATTTAACAAAAATTTGCATGCTCCAGAAATTTATTTCTGGTGGGCAGCATGAATTTTAGATCTTCGCGAAGTTCGAACGATGCTCCTAAAATGTTATGTTTATGCTTATATTCAGGTTCGTCGCAAATGTCCATCTTCCCGAGTGGGACACTTTAGTAAGTTTGGTTATAAACTTGGTATCGATGATTTTTACAACAAGACAAGCTAAATAAATTATGGCGGGTTCCCGCATATGATGTCGGCTCAAAGGTTGTAGTTCAACAGTTATGATCAGGGTAGCCCACGCTTTTGTCCTGTGATTTATCCTTGGAGGAAAATCAGCTCCGGGTAAAGCATGTAAATCACGGTGACTGACATTCATTCGCCTCATCTCATAATCATCGTTGAATACCTCTTTAGTTATAGCAACCACTGGTGCCCCTTGTCTCCCATCCATTCTCCGCGTGCCTTGTGTTGATTGGGAATTGGTGTCCCGTATCATGGTGGTCGTGATGCTCATGTCCATTGAAGACGTATAGGTATCCCGTCCACCCAAAATCCGGATGCGCGAGTTCAGTACCATGTAAACAGTGTTAGCATACAGCTTGGGCATGATCAGGGCCGGGGTCCCGTAGAAAGTCTGATGAGGGAAGGCAAAAAAGAGGATAAGGTTGAGCAGAGCCACCACGGCTAAATGTGAATGATGTCAATCTCATGATGAGTGTGAAAGGCGTAAAGTAAATACCTGTCACAGTTCCCGTTTCAATGGTAAGACGAATCAACTTCGTGACAAGCATCCGGGTACGACGGAAACCAGTGTCGCTGCGCATAAGCTACGAAACAGGGTAAAGATCAATGAAGATAGCTGAAAAAGAGAAAGAATTCACGTAGTAAGTCATACAGATAGCGATAACAATGTCGCATAAGGCGGAGGCTCCGCACCAAATCTGCATATGGGATCAGCACGGTGAACACGAGATGCTTAATCAATTACTCACCCCGACGGCAATAGACGTCTTCCGATTATTGAGTTTCGTAACGTTGCCTGCTTCGAAAGAGTAGACGCCTGTGATTATAGCTGCCACGGAACTGGTCAACGATACCTGTAAATAGATGAACTAGACTGTCAGGGGGGAGAATACGGCAACGAACACAGGTGACAAATATCGGGACAATTTGAGACTTTGACAATACGAAGATTCGGTACGCGTAGAAAACCTGTCCGACGCAAGCGACTGTACTCTGATAAATAACAGGAAATAGCGAGAAAATGCTGCACGCACCTGCAGCGCTCATGATGGGGACAGTGAGCCAATCAAAATGCATATCAGTGAGGGCCTCGATATCACCGAAGCCGTAACCGAACATTGCAAAGGCGTCGTGAGTGACGAGCATCGTCTGAACAAACTCGACAATGTAGATTCCATAGACAAGGTATTTTGTAAATTGTCTGTCTTTCGGAAATGCCAGATAGTACAGATCTAGCGGGAATGTATCAGAAATAATCTACTGAATAGTGACTCGGAGCGACGCACAGAGCTGCACAGAAAGGGTCCCGAAAAGTCCCCAGTGCAAGAGATAGGCGACGATCTGGATTGTCATGTTAGGGACTGGAGGGACTAAACAAAAAAATTGACGAACCAAAGGTCCAGACCTGAAATGAGATGATCCAGTGTTAGTATCAGTACATACCAAACTAATCAATTTTAAAATGATGACTTACAGCCTTTCTATAGGATAACCTGCGGGAACAGGCTGCATGTTGTATCTGGGGTTGTTGTAGTCGTCCTGAAGGGAGGAAAAAACTTATACATATATTCCCGACAGTCATCGTGAGAAATCTGAAAGAACTCTCGAATAACTAACCAACGCCGGTGGCCAGAGTTTCATCACGCCACGAAACCGAGCTGAATAAACCATCGCAGTCCAGCTCCTCTAACCAGGAACGATTCGACGTTTTTCATGTGGTCAGTGCATTGATCCATCAAACTCATTCTCATGATTCCGATCTACTGGTTGAAAAGAAGTTCTCGGACCAAGTTAGCGGAAGCGGATCCGGTGGGTTAATATGTACCGTAAAATTTAAAGTTATCCCGGGGATAAACTGCGAGAAGAAGGGAGATCAGAGTGGGATTGTCACTTGCTGTTCGACACATACTGGATATACTATCAGTACGTAGGCTTGGCACATGGCTACGTAGCATTTGCGTTTCTCCTGATGTGCTGAAGAGTGTACTAAGCAAGCACAAACACGGAGAATCCCGTGCGATGTCTTTCTGAGTAGCCGGCGGGCCGGTCCTTTCGAGCTGTCGACTGTTGGCCAACCGTCGTTGTTCATTAATTTTTCCCAGGTGATCGTTGATGGAAGAATGTGTCGTTGACACTGTAAGTCTGATCTATCAGATACACATCCATCCACTCAGTGTACTTCACAGACTTCCAAGTCAGATAAACATTCTGCAATGTAAACTGGCGACCACATGCCAGTGCTGATGCGAGCCGCGAGGAATTTTGATATCACGGTCATGCGATAGCCACCTATGGCCACGTTTTGAGCACTATCGACAAGAAAAGCTTCAAAGCGGAAAGCGTTCTTGTGCTACAGTCATAGGTTATGGTTCCCGCTTATCATTTGGCATTGAAACTCAGTTCCGTGATAGTCAACTTCGGCAGCATTGAATGTGCATAACTCAGAAGGAGGCCATCAAAACAAGGAACGTCACTGACCCCGCGATATCGAGTTCCTGATTAGACAAAAGCCAGTCCCGTGGTACTGCAAAAATAGATCGGTGAAAATGAATTCTATTAGTACGTACTCTCTATGCAAGTTGGTCCACAGCATCAGTAAAAGGGGAAATTCCCCTTGTAACTGTGATTCTGATGGGACCCGAGGCGATACCTGATAACCCTCGAATTTACTGGAACCGGACGTGCGATTTAAAGAGTACCATCAGCCCGTGAACCTTTAATGCTTCTCCTTCAACGGACATCAGTAGCAGCTTCTTCTACCCTAGATTCTTCCGTCATCGGAATTCTTTCTGATCTTTCACACAGCGCCCGGTGATTTCGTTGGTATGCGAAGAAATTCCATGCCTTTCGGCATGCAGTATCGATATGCACTACAGGCGGCTATCTCTTTAACCACCTCTCTGCATCGAGCCATCTCTGTGCCATGTCTTCCGAGCCTTCCCCTCGACATTCGTCCTCCACTGAGAACGACTCAGGAGACATAGAACTCGGCCAGGGCTCAAGGGCTCAGGGTTCTCAAATAGGATCGCAGCCTGGAACTCGAGCAGGAAGCACAATCAGCGAGAAGGCCTATGCGAAGGATAAAGTCTTTCCAATCGAGGAGCCTCCAAGTGCACCTCAGTTTGTGGAAGGAACACTTCAAGGATGGTTAACAGTCTGTGGCGCGTAGGTTTTTCCCTCTGTTGTTGGCTTACGCCACGCTGAAAACTCGTGCTTTCAGATCTCTGGTCGCAATGTGTACGCGTGGCCTCTTTCTGCGAACGTGCTTACTCTAACACATACTACTAGGCACCTTTGGAAATATTCAGGTAAAGCCGCTCTTGTACTATTCCAACCAGGAATTTGACCGGGTATTTCACTAGTCCTTTGGAGGTTTGTTCTATTCGCTTTTAATCTTTGACCATGTCGCTCATGGACCATAGTCTATCAAGCCTATTATACCGTACGCGACGCCTGTCCTTGAAGAGCTGATTCTTGAAATACTGACATTCGAAATAGCAATCTTTCCTCTCCGGAAACTCGCCATCCAGGATAAGCTGGATCGGTTCCGTCCAGCTATGCCTCCAGTTTACCGTTGGTGTTTTCTCCGGGAAACTCTTCGACCAGGGCTACTTCCATTCTCTCATGATTGGCGGCAGCCTCCTTCTCCTTTTCTCGTGAGTGAATTGCTACGTAACATCTTCAGAACTGATCCATATTTACTTTTTGTTAGATCTTTTATGCTCTCCCTCGCTAAGCCTCATCAATTCTACCAAGCCTTATTGGCACAGGGTTTTGGCATGGGTATCGGGATGGGTTGCATGTTCTTACCAGCGTTAAGCATCATGTCGCACTATTTCCGGAAGAGGAGAGCTGTCGCCATGGGCATTGTTGTAGCGAGTACATGCCTCCTCTTCGATTCTCCAGCGATATTTACTAACGTTTTCTGGAGGCGGGTCCCTCGGGGGCGTCATTTACCCTATCATCCTGAATAAGGTATTCCCGAGGGAGGGTCTCGGGTTTCCTTGGGCTGTTCGGTGAGCTGGCGAGCTATTTTTATGGCGAGATCCATCTCACATTATATTAGTTTCATTGCATTCATCAATATCGTTTTCTTGGTCATCGCGAACTTGATCATGAAGCCAAGATGTAGGACAACTCTACACATCATTGCTGTTTCGGCATCTCACTCATTTACACTTCTAGGGCCGACTCGCAAACGCAATCCAGTGGACATGAGTCAGATAATACACGATACCCCATATTGGGTGACGAATATAGGGTGGGTTGTATCGCCGGTACCTGTAATTTATGTGTTCTTACCAACTCCCGAAAGGCTCTTTCTAGGATTTTGGGGGATATTCATTCCTTGTGCATTTTCTCCGTGTCCGCCTCATCCCGAGAGACTGATGCATCTTTAACAGATTTCTACCTTCAGCTCTTCTCTGAGACTCACGGAGTAGACCCTAACTTCCTGACTTGGACGGTGCGTCGTAACGTTTTATTTGCAGTTCTATCAGTAACTCACAACTGTCCTATGATAGCTACCCATCCTTAATGCCGGTGCCGTTTTCGGGCGATTCATGCCCAACTTCCTAGCCGACAAGTACGGGCCGTTAAATGGTCAGTGGAATACCATCGACCAATTCAATCCAGTCTGATATTCCTCCAGTGATCATTCCAAGTGGAATCATATCAGCCGGAATGCTGTGGGCTCTTCTCGGCGTCAGAACCATTGCGGGAGTGACACTATTCGGGCTGGTATATGGATTCGTTTCTGGCGCGTTTTTGACACTTGCGTCTCCAGCTGTGGCGGCGTTCACTCGGAGTCCCACATTAGATGACATAGGGTAAGCTCACGGTCTAGTGAATTTTCCGTGCTGATTTTTTGGCAGGCTTCGGATAGGCATATCGTGCTTCTTCATTGGTTTGGCACTCCTGACGGGCAATCCAATCGCGGGCGCGTTGCTGTCCTCTCCAAACTACATCTGGTGGCGCGCGCTTACTTTTGCCTGCGTAAGTAGACTGTGGGTATCAACTTTGGGTTGTGGAAACTTAGACGTCTGTAATATAGGTCGTGATCATGGCTGGCACACTTTGCCTTATACTTGCTCGACAGGCGCTGGTGCGAAGGAAGGGCGGCGTGAAGTTTGTCTAATCAGTTTCGTTCGCCTAGAGGAGTGAAGAATGATGTAGAAGACGATGGATTATTTCTCTGGCTAGGTCAATCTTATTTAGTTTTCTTTTTTCTTTTTGTCTACGCAGCCGGTTTTTGGGTATGAGGTTCGGCTTTCTCGTCACCCGAAGTGCCAGTCGTAGATTCTTTAGTTTCATAGGTCTCTTTCCTCGGTCCCATGTCCTACGATACATACCCCTAATAACACAGTAGGCCGCAAGCGTAACATTGCGATGTTCCTGAAAAGATGGAAGTATGGCATATAAGCACCGTTTCAAAACTCCGTGAGGGCCATCATTACGAACGACTCGGATCTCCAGCCAGACTTTCGTCGCGACTCGATTCACCACGGCAGCATTTAAGATGTAAGATTAACTGGTAGAAATCGAAGCTATTGTATCCACCGTTAATCTGATGCACGAATGAGGGGCTTTCGTGATATCGGAGAGTACAAAACCGCCGCATTAAATCTGGTCCTTATCACTGTGCTTCGGCAACCTGCGGACGCAGGGAGTTACATATCTTGTTGAGCTTGTCAATCTCTTCGGTGCGTTTATCGACTTGTTCATCGACTTGTCAGCTTCTTCACTGAGCTTGTCCGAGTCGGAAACAGAATCACGACTCGGTATTTCCCAGCTCTCCGGGTGAATTCTTCCCAGGCAGCCTCGTACTTGCTCTTCATAGCAGGCGGCCCATAGTCAGTGTCATTCTCTACAGCCCACTGCAGGGGGTCCGTCCACATAGCGCAAACTGCTCTGGTGCACAGTTTTATAGCCTCCCAAATGACACGCCCATACTAAAAGCCTTTGTCATCAAAAGGGAGACATATCTGAGTGAGACACAAGACGAGCCAAAACACATAAGTTGCCGATCAAGAAGGTGGAGGAAGCGGGAGGCGTTAGGGTTGCCGGTTCCTGGGTTCCAGTACATCGAAGGCATCTACCTTGCGGCGGAGGGAGATGGCAATATGCAATATTGTCAAGTGGAGGTGGGACTCAAAAAGGCTCGGATGTTTCTTCGCTTGTTTTCGAGCTGGAGGGCAGGTTGATGGTGAAAGGGGTAGTATAAGTCTACACAATTGCAAGCTGACCTATTAGCGAGCATTCTGGCCTTGCGAACCGTGACATCCCTCTGTCGCTCCATAACAAGGTAGTTCCGACAAGCCTTCTTGTGTCAACCTTGAAAGTAAACGACCATAAACTGGTGCCGCAGCGGGGTCACAACACGCTGATAGTACTCCACCAGGGTTACAAGGAGGTCGTCGCCTGTATTCCCATGCGTCCTCGGGGTTACAGGAATCGTAAGGCTGGAAAGACCGTAGACTGGCTTTGTCTGAGGTCTTGGGGAAAAAGAGCAAACCAGCTTCAGACGGGATACTAGGGGGTGGAAGACGGGGAGGGTCCGTGTTCGGCATTGTTAGCATACTTTGAAAGAACCGAAAGAGGGACTGAAGTGGCATGACAGAGTCGAAGGTAAGACGAATCGAATTTCGGCTGGAAGGTCTCAATATGGACATGAACGCCAAGACCCTGAAACCGGCACTGCCACTAGTGTTGCCGCCAGTCCGGCTCGAGCTGCCGAGCTAGCCGAGCTTAGCTGGGAATTTCCGAGCAGCGCTAAGAGAACCGGCTAACAGCTCGTTGCCGCTCGGCTTGATATTTTGACCAGCTCAGATGCAGCTTAAGCGGGTTAAGCTGTCAGCTTCTTCCCAATTAGGATGTAAGAAACTTCACACTCATTATCACTGTTGTTCATGGTTCAAGCATCAAATTACATTCTGCAAGGGATAATATGGGACTCCTTTACTCTGATGCATTGCAGTCTGCGTCATTCCGCTATTACAATCAGGTAAATAGTCCTTCGATTGTACAAGTATAGTAGTATTTCCAAAATAGGCACTAATAACAAATTGGAAATGACATCTTTCTGGTCTGGTCTCCTGTGACGGGATTAAGCCTTTTGAGCATCTCATTGGAGTCAGGTTGGATGCCTGAAGTGTTGGAGGATATCCGTACAGTATACCAAGTTTCCTTATCTTTCTCCCATCGTTCGTTTTACTTACTATATATATCTTACCTCCTGTCCTTGACTCAATCACTATATAGCTTAGCCGTTGATACCTGAGTACCTCAGTCATTCCACCTTTGCTGTGCCCAACTGAGGTACGTATACCTTACTGTCTCTAGCTTATAACTTACTCACACTCGTTCATACTAGATTATTACTTATATTCTTTATCTTTAGGTACAGTACCTTTCAATACAGTCATTCCACCTTCGCTGTGCCTGACTGAGATCATTACTTATATCCTTTGTCTTTAGGTTATGGTGCCCTGTAGCCTATAGCTCAGTCAAAAAGGATACGCAGCGAAATGTTTATTATCAACGACTCAACTACTGCCCACTGCCCACACTTGCCCAACCATTACTATTGAACACATACTCCTAACATGTTGTCGACTACGTCAGGAGTTACAATCCTCCCTGATACCCATAGCCACTTCAACAGGAAAAACTACGCCTTGTGGAAACTTCAGCTTACTGAACTATTGAAGAGGAAAGGATTGTGGGGGTACATAGAAGGTACTATACCCTGCCCTGCCACCTCTGCGACTTCTGCAAGTGGACCAACAACTACTCCACTACCACCAGACCCCACACCAATCTACTGTTGAGGTAAATACCGATACAACCATGCACCTGTAGATACTGTAATTAGAATATTTGTATATATTATATTTTGAAGCCTCCACAGCGGCAGCCACGTAGCGCCGCCCGTTGAAGAGGCTGACTGTGGGCACCTGTGGAATAGTGAGCGGGCTAAAAGGCGAACCTCAAAAACCCACACACACACTCACACAACTACACAAACTACAATCACCCTCATAAGTTCTAAGGGGAGCGATTATTTCTAATGCGGTCCAACTATACTTCAATATCTTGAGGAGTTTCTCTTATTCTCAGTGCTCTTAGTGAAGCTAAGCTTTCTCTAATGAATTCCTAAGTCTAGGAACTTTTTACAGGAAGGTCGTTCACTGGCGCGACGCAACCTTCAAGGCAGATTTGAGTTATAATACACAAGGGACACTGATCCTGACAGAAACAGAGGCAATACACGCTGAAACTTTAGTGAGCTCGCTAAAAAGAACACCACAGGCAAGCACTGACTTAACCTGCTCACTACACAACTGTATGTAGGGGTTCTCCAACTAACTCCAGCAGGTTATCTCGACTCAAGAACACTTCAGAAGCGCTCGGAAACAGATTCAGAAACGGAACTTCAAACAGAACTGACACGGAACAGACTGAAACAGAACAGAACAGAACAGAACAGAACAGATCTCAGATTTCCACTTCAACACATTCTCCGAACAGACTTATCACACTTAACAGAACAGAAACAGCGTCACTGATTCATATTCACTCTGACTAAGTTCTCAAAAGTCTTATCAAAAGGGTATCTTGTATTTCTCTGAGTGAGTTCACTAATTCTATGCACAGCTCGAAGTCACAAACTGATCCTTTGTTACAGTACTGCCTTCAACGCGTGCACGGGAACTCGGGGGCTCGAAACTTGGCCTCTACCTACTGTAACCCGCCTACTTATACTACAGGGGAATTAGAATTACAAATGTCATGCAGTACCCAGACTCCTACATGCGTAGCACGTTGCCACCACCGCCTTACTGAGCATCCGAGTCGGACTTCCCAGTTTTAGTCTCATTTCTATAGTGAGCTCGCTAAACGCATGCCAAGAGGTGCTCTCCTGACACCCGCAGGCTTGTTTTCTAGCGACTGACAGGTCTAGGTGCCCGGAACTATCAGTCCTGGTGTATGTTGTTCAAGACTTCTTTCTTGGATTCACAGAGGCTTCTCATAGACACAGCAACAAGTGAGTCTTCTAACAATGGGACTCAGAACAATGGAACGTGGGCTCGTGGACTTCGGCCGAAGCCCATTGCCCAAGCTCGTGCCAGTGATATCTGTCATCTCGCTTAAGGATTTCCCTGGATTTTCAGGTACGACGCGTCACAGTTAGCGAGCGTGCTAAGTATTCTCAGTGTCACTGCAATCTTCAAGGTTTTATCTAGCTCCCACGAGCATGCTTGTAAGTTAAAGCCTAAGGCATTGGGTATAGGGTTTGGCCTTCTCATCACGCATGCCCGTCAGGTACAGTGCTGTGACTAAGTCCTGTTTAGAATCCCATTGCTTCTTATGCCATAAGTTATATTCCATATCATTGCACCACGTAGCATTAGTGTCGACGTGTAGTTTGAGTCCGCTCGCTCACTATATCTCAGTATGCATGTAAAACATGTTAGATTGCAAAATTACACGCATAAATAGGCTGCAGTCGCAACACTGTTCCTTTCTTGTTTCCTCAGTTCATCATCATTACGACTGAGGTATGTTTCTTACTTATTACTTTATTCTATTACTTACTTCTGATGTAGTATATTAATTTAGACTTCATCAGGTAATATATCAAGTTTGTCATCATTATGACTGAGTATATTAATTTAGACTTCGTCAGGTTATGGGCCCCATGCTCTAACCGACCCTGATCTTGTGCTCAGACTGTTCTGGTGAAGAGGCTCTGTGCATGCCAAACTCGAAATGCGATAGCGTAGATACACTAAACACACCCACTCTCACACTCACACACACACAGAATCTCAGTAGTTTGGGGGAGATGTGCGATGCAAGCACACAATAACAATAGAATTAAAAGATGTCTTGCACTCTTCAAGATATAATAGCGCGCTAGCTCAACAGAATTCTCTAAGTCCAAATGCTTTTAGGACAGGA